GATGGGATCCTAGCCTTGCACTATCAGGCATAATAGTGTAATGTTTCCCTAATACTCAAACAGGCATTTTGGGGTCATTTTCCTTCCAGAGTTGCAATGTCTAAACAACAGTCTGTACAACACATTGGAAACAGAATCAGACTTAAAATTCAGTTGTCTTCCTTTTGTGTGTGAGAATGTTTCTACAAGGATTAGTCGAGAGCAACAGCCCAGGAACTGAGGCAGTATCCAGGACACTGGAGAAAGGGCAGGGAGGAAATGTCTCTCCAAAACCTGGTATATAGACGCCAAGGTCAGGTGATTGCACACGTCACTTAATCCAATTATTTTAGCCCAATCACACTGAATCACATAATCTCTCAAAAGGAAAGTTCAGTGACTGATTCCTAGCCACTTGCAACCATTTGATGAAATTTATCTACTTCCAATCTTTCGCAATACTCTTTTTTGGAGAATGAATACCACAGACCGCATTTTTAGAAACACACTTAAATAGTAACACATGAATCATACATTACACATATCTCCCAAGGAGAGCAAATGCTAATGGGCAGATGATCCATAAATTGTTTAGACCAATAAAAGCACCTATGAAGGGTATGAAATTTCTCAAGATAAAACTTACTTACCGATATCCCTGAGGATAAAGAACCGGAGTGGGGGTTTGGAGGTTTAGCTCAAGAAAAGGGGTATAATGAAGCCATGAGATGAATCTCCAGTTGTGCAAAAGAAATCCCAAGACCAATCATCTATTACTACCTATTTTGAAATCGTTCATGCACAGGAGAATTATACATACCCTTGCACTATTTTTGCTTTTGATTTAATTTAAATTTACAAATAATAATTATACATATTCCTGGGCTCCGTGATTCCATACCTGTGTCTACCATCCACTGGGCAAAAGATATCTGGATAATCAACCTTTCTACCTCAAAGATTTACACTTTCCTTGTGGTAATGGTATTGAAGATCCTTTCTTCTTTTTGCTCTGAAATATAAAATACATGACGATTTAGTGCCAGGGATCTCGATGGAATTGGAGACCACTATGCTCAATGAAATAAATCAAGCACTGAAACTGTTCTCATTCTTGTGAAAGAGTGCCTCAGCACGTGGATTCAGTGCACAGGTCATTCCCAGAGAAGTCCAGGAGCAGAATCAATGATGTCTGCGGCTTGTAGTGAAGGCGAAAAGAAATGAAACCTCTTTGACTTGTTGTTGGCCGTGTGTACTTGTATGTAGCATCTTGCTTGTGTCATGTTTCAGATTATTGGCTCAATGCTGAAAATGAATCAAAAAGTAGGATACATTTTCATGGTCTGATCCACAGAGAGATTGATGAGAGTCCATAACCTTCCCACTCAGTTCCTTCATAAGGGAGACCAGTGTCAATGAGAGATGTGCCACAGAGAGGAGACCCTCTGAGGGTGTCCAGCTCAGTTTCTGGTAAGAAGCACTGGAGGTCACCACTGCCAGGTCTTTCTGCTATTGGTAGTATGCACACATTCCCTTCTGATCCCCATGCAGTGGTCCCTTTGGGAGGTGGGTTCTGCTCCCTTTAGGCCACTGGCTGGGTCTCCCCTGTCCTTGAATCCTCCATGCCTTAGTCCACTGTTGGGAGCTTCCTTCTATCCTGAATCTCCCAGGACCTGATCCTGCTGCACCTCTGCTTCTCCTTCATGTCATTCTCAGGAAGGCCTCTGACAGCACACACCTGGGAGATCACCAGCAATTGCCCTGTTCTCATTCCCGTACCACCAGCTGTGCTTGCCTGGTCTGTTCACCTTCATGGTGCTGAACAGAAGGAGTAGCAGGCCCAGCAGGAGGCAGGAGTAAGAGAGTGGTTGTGTGGGGAGCCAGGGACTCGGATTTCTTCCCTTGCCCCATTGAGTATCCTCATGCCTTTGGAGGGATCCCTCAGCTTATCTGTATGTCCAAGACCCTGCCTTGCACCTCTGTAACTTCCCAAGCCTTACCTCTTGTTCTTTGAACTCCTATCAGAGTATCTTCATTTTGTATGGAGCACAGCAAACATGCAACAGGAATCCATAGAGACACAATAAATAAAGGGAGTCTGGTGGTTTCTCTTTCCATTTTATTCAGCATCTCACCCGATTCATATGGAAAAGCCTTGAGCAAACATGTGTGACACTTGTTAGACAGCATTGCATTCTTTGACCCATTCTGTGTTGCACATAAAATATTCAGGAATTTTTTGGAGGAGAAAATTAAGTAGGGCGACTCAGGAAAAGGTTAAATATATTCTTAATGTTTCTATAATTTTGTGTAACATCTTACCACCAACCCAATACTGAAAACAGAAAAAGGCCTTAACTCAAACATCTTGTGGATCAGGAATTGAAGGAAAGGCTGCCAGTGTCCACTGCACAACCTCCACAGGTGGCAATGCAGGTACTCACCTGGGCTTTGAATCTCAGAAGAGGCTTTTGGGGGATTGAGTTACTTCAAGATGATATGTCTCTGACCCTCTGTTTAAACACCATGATGACTATTTCCTCTCGCAAGTCATTTCAAGTCTCTGAAACTTTACTACATCAACACTTATAGGAATCCATCTTGGACTTCTGATTTGTGCCTTGAGTCTTCTTATCACTATGAGCAATTTATGAGGAGGAGATGATTTGATCTATATATTCCTCAGAAGTGGATTGTTCAAAGAAGTGAAAGGCTCAGTGTGTGGATTAGAATGTAAGACAAGGAACTGAAAGTAGCACAGCATATTGCTGGGGAACTGGTCCACCCAGGAGGACCCACCATCCTTTGAGAGCTGCTAATTCAGGTGCTGGGTGGTGGTGACTCATGCCTATAAGGAGGCTGCTCCCAGGAGGATTGTGGTTCAAAGCCAGCCCAGGCAAAGAGTCAAAAGGACCCCATGTCAAAAAGAAAAAAAATATCAAATTAAAGGCTAGTTGGAATGGCTCAAGGTGTAGGCTCTGATTTCAACTCAAAGTGCCACCAAAAACAAAAAAACAAAAACAAAACCACAAAACAAAAAGATGCAGAGGTTTGAGAAGCACCAATCCAGGCAACAAAAGTTGTGTGGGCCTTAAGAGTGGTGGGGGATCTTCTTTTTTTCTTTTATTATTCACATGTGCATACAAGGATTGGGTCATTTCTCACGTCTGCACCCACCCCCTACCTTACCACATAATCCGTCCCCACCCTCTGCCCCCACCCCTCCATACCCAGCAGAAACTATTTTGCCCTTATCTCTAATTTTGTTGTAGAGAGAATATAAGCTATAATAGGAAGGAACAAGGGTTTTTGCTGGTTGAGATAAGGATAGCTATACTGGGCATTCACTCACATTGACTTCCTGTGCATGTGTGTTACCTTCTAGGTTAATTCTTTTTGATCTAAGCTTTTCTCTAGTTCCTGGTCCCCTTTTCCTATTGGCCTCGGTTGCTTTTATGGTATCTGCTTTATTTTGTCTACATTAAGGGCAACAAATGCTAGCTCATTTTTTACGTGTCTTACCTATCCTCACCCCTCCCTTGTGTGCTCTCGCTTTTATCATGTGCTCAGTATAAAAGCATCAAGAGTTAGCGTCTTATTGTCAAATTCCAGGATGAGCAAAATGTCCTAGAATATCCCTACTGAGTGACCACTTCATCCTCTAAATGCTGAGGATTCAAGAAGTAGAAACTGAAAGGCAAACTAAGGGCAAGGAATCCCTGCCCTTTGGAGTTATGGAAACATAGGCTAATGGACATGTTTGAGATAGCTGATTTGCATTGCTAGTCAGAAATTAAAATGTGCATCCACCTTGTTATGTTTAAAAGTATCTTATTGGTATTGAAAGAAAATTATCAGTACACTTAATGATGTTTGAAAAGAACAAAGACATGTCAAGTAGATCATGTGTCACAGTGATTGCTGTTGACATCATTGGAGTCACACAATTAAATCTCATGTAGGTCAAAGGAAAACTGCACATGTCGGGGACTGAGTAGACTTTTCCTGTAATATTGTCCTTTAGATACCAAGCACAGATTCATTTTTAATTACCTTATAATGTAAACTATTCACAGGTGTGCCAATCCTATTTCCTGTAACATTGAGTAGGTAGAAACACTTCATATTGCACATAGTCAATTCCTTTTTATGTATAACTTAAGGTTACGTCCTCTAAACCATCCGTGCCTGCCTGTGTTTCAGCAGCACTATAGAGACATCCCTCACAAAAACTCTGGATTTTCCGAGTGCAGTTCACTGGAGGACATGTAAATGAAATGTGTACAAGAAGTAAGGAAGTTGTAGCCACCAGGTATACTCAGCTTTAGCATCAGCAGGAAACTGCTTTCTGGTGAGAGACAGAGAGAACAGATGTTGTGGGTCCTACTGGGAGGGCACTAAGCCTATTTTTGCTCTGTACCCTGGGTACTCGGAAACCTTTCTGCCCTTCTGCCCCGTGAACATGACTCTCCACAAAGACTTCCTTGGGAACAAGTTGTGTGTCATATTTATCTTGGCCATATGGCACAGGCTGGAAGTCAAAGACCTCACAGAGTTGGAAGTAAGACTTTAGAGTAGTTAAGACACCTACATTTCGTTAGAAATGAATTTTAATAATTACACATTTAAATGAATATGTGTATAATTTAAAAATATGATTCTTATTGGCATTGAAAAATCACCTAATGTTCACGGGATGTTAGAAAGGGAAAACAAGCACATAGTTTAGTGAATACCCAGGGGTGTCCACTTTAGCTCCGATGAAATTGTCTTGGTGGAAATGTCTTCCTGTGGTACTCTATTAAAGTCCATTTTAACTTCAACTTGAGGATGCATCATGTAGACACTCAGTGTCTGTGTGACTGCTCCCAGAAGTCTCTTGAGAGCAATCATTGCACAAGTTTCACCCAAGGTGAGGTGATTAAGCAAAAAGAGCCTGTACCCTTGACCAGCCCTGCTCAGTTCAGCAATCCCCTCAAAGTCACTGACACTGGACGTGAGTCTTCCCTTCAGGAGTTGTCTCACTCCAAATCACTCTCCTCAGAGGAAGAGGAGACCCATAGATCCTCATAGAGGACACTCAGTGGCACATGGCTGCCATGACACTCAGGCATCTCTGGGCTGGCAGGCCTGGTGTCAGGAAGGCTTGTCTTCTCAGGAGTTTGGGATGACAGAGGTGTCACCAACCTGGAGCTCCAGTTGTCACTGTACAACCTCTTGAAGATCATTCTGAGGGGTTGGCCTGGAACATGGCTTGACAGTGGGTTATTGGACTCAGTGTAGGACATGGCAAAATCCATCCGAGCTTGGTTGTGTGCAGCCTGTAGGTCATCACTGGGTCCCTGTGCTGATATTTTCTCAGTCTCTTGACATGATACTTTCAAACCACGTCTATTTTTATTTTGTGGAGGAGGCACAGCCTGGAGATGTTTCAGGACAGCTTTTCCAGGGTGCTCCTGGGTGATATCAGAGGGTTTGAGTCTTGCTTTCTTTGGGGGATTCTGGTCATTGTGCACAGGGACGTGGGCAGGTCTCTTGTTTGATGCTCTAAAGCTGATTTGGGACTTCTGCACAGATGTATGAGATGCAACTCGCAAGCAGGACTGCTTCTTTGCATCAGGTAACTGTGTTGGTAGCAGAAGTTTGAGCATTTGGCCAGTGCCATGCTTTGTAGAGACAGCCTCGTAAAAACTGGGGGAGCCATCATCTGGACATCGGAGGGTGTTCTTCATAAGGAGGGCACTGTCTTGAAGAGAGTTTCTCAATGCCGGCCTGGTGATGTCAGTGAGAGCTAAACTCGGACCTTTATTTTGCGCAGGAGAAAAGACAGTAAATTCTGTTCCTTTGATGGCTGACAACTTAGGGCCCATGGATCCCATTTCAGATATGTTGATAGTTGGTTGAGGATTTTCAACATTGCCAAGGAAACATCCGTTCCTATTTCTAGAGTCGAATTTTGGCCTGTTTGGTTGCTATGGGAAAGATAGGCATGTCAGTTATACATTGGTATTTCCTCAACATAAAATTTCAAGAAAATCCAGCAAGTAAGAGAGGGAGGTTAGAACACTAACATTAATGGTGAAAGTACAGTAAGTTGTCACGTTAGACATGGAACAAGCAGAGTGTGGTGTCCACGCACCTAGAACCCTGTACACAGGAGGCTGAGGAGTGATCATGTGGCGATCCAGCCAGCCCTTCGAATTACATTATATTTTAGGCCATAATGAGAAAGGTAATTTTTCTACATTAATTATTGTTCTGTTTAATAAAAAGCACTTTCTCATCGGCTTCTGGGGAGCTCATTGGGTAATGCTAATGAAGGGTGGTAACGTGACTATTGAGGTTTTATTTTCCTGAAATTTTATATTCTTCCATGTAACTGGGTTTGATTTCGAGGCGTTAGATGAAATCACTTCCCATGTCCTCACTTGCACATCATTGAAGACAGAAGTAAGTACACACATGAAAAGTAAAGAAAAGCAAAGTGTGGCCCTGCTAAGTACACAAAGTGGCCTTCTAGTAGTCAGATGGGGATGTGGAATATAACATTTATTCACAGAGGAAATGGAAGATGGCTAAGAGAAGGCAAACAGCAGGGACGCCAGGGAGAGACTCACCCTCAAGTCATCACAGGACTCTGCCACATTTGTCCAGTTGTACACCTGCCTCCCTTGGCGATTTCTGGGAAATTTCTGGACCAGCGCCTTCCTCGGCTGCTCCTTTTGCCTGAGGAAGAAACAATGTTAAGTGGCTATGCCCTGATTATGCATGACACGGACAGAAATGTTTCTGGGTTCCATGCTATTGGGTGTTTCTTTTGACTGAGGCAGGGCATCACCATGACCTGTACTGAGTCTGCCCCATCCCTCAGCCTCCCCATAATTTCTGACCTTTCCCTTATTTCTCAAAGTAAGGTTCAAGCAGATTCCAGTCTTTTGTGTGTCTTCCTAGACCCCTGCCACTTACTGGGTGAATGTGGACTTATTTCTGTGGTACTGAAGGACGGGCAGATGGGGTCTATTTGTTTGAATGTTCTCTATTATCTAATTTGCCTGGGCAGAGCTTTACAAATGGTGGAGGCATGGACAGACACCATGTGCTCAGCCTTAGCACCTGAAGTTTAGTTTACAGCTGCCCCATTTCTCACCCCGCTCCCTGCTCCTTTTGTCTATCAGCCTGTTGAAACGCCCCGGCCTTCTGACAATATGGGGGCTTCCAGGATTGCTGCTTCTCTTTCTGCTTCTTTGTGTTCATGGGCAGTGGGACCATGGTCCTGACCCAGCACTTGATGGGACATCTCCTGCTTCTTGCAGTGTGCCCAAAGGCTCCACATTCCTTGCACTTCACCTGCATGTGGAAAAGGAGAACTGCTATTGACCTGAAAAATTTCCTCAGAAGTCTCAAATGACAATAAAAAAGGAGATTTTCAAGTCTTACTTTCTTACTGAATTCAGACAAGACCAGTGGTGTTTGGCCTATTTACTGCTAGATTTTTAAACGGTAATATGGTCTTCCCAATGTCCTTGTTAGGAAGGATATAGGAAGGGGGTTTGCAGCCTGAAAATGTGATAATGCTCCAGAGGTAAGCAATAGGAATAATGTTTCTGAAAGATGACCTGCCATAAAAGGGAAAATTGCCCCTCAAGGTTTCTCTATGTTTCTGTCTCCCTGTGAGGAGTTTCCAAGCAGGGAAACTGGACATAAGAAGGAAGAATTGATTCAAGACACAATCACCTATGACCCCACCCAAGCTGTGTGATTTATGGAGCCCCCTGGTTGCAGAGACACCCAAGCCTCCACTTACTCTGGGATCTTCCTCTTCTGGTGGGGGAACCCTAGGCCTGTCTCGTCCCCTCAGCTCCTTCTTCCCATTCATTGCTGGAGAGAGTCTGTGGGGCTCACTGGTAGGGAAAAGACCTGCCACCTTCCTTGTCTCCTTACAGTCAGCTCAGACGTCCTCAGTTTCTGATTTTGGATTTCCTGAAGCACGAGAAAAAAATATGTGCTCTACAATTTAAATGAACAATAAAATAATACAAGCTTTCAGTTACCATTGCAAAATCTCTAGGTTTCAAACCAGCTCATCACTACCCTAGAAGGATCACAGCATTCTAGAACATTTCCTTGCAATTTGAACCATCTTGACTAAGAATGACTGCTTTTCTGGGTCTCCCTTCACGGAATTCCCACTGAAGTTGAAATGATCACTTCTTTTCTTTCAGTGCTGTGGTAGAACAGCAGATCTTGTCTACATTAGGCAAGAGCTCTACAAATGAACTTTACCTACTCCCTTTTTTATTTTTTGTCATTTTTGGTGTGTTTGTTTTCATAGAGGGTCTCCATTATGAACAACAATGTTTTTGTGCAGTCCCTATAGAGCACAGGTGTATCTGTCCCTCTCTCCTCTACCTGCCACAATCTCCTTGGAACTGGAATTTCAGCCTTGCACTATCAAGCAGAAAGAGTATAATTTTTGCCTGAGACCCAAATATGCTTTCCTCCATGTTTCTTAAATTGTAGTAATTTCTGAACCACAATCTGAACAACAAATGGGAAATAGAAACAAACCTGAAATTCAGTTGTCTTCACTTTGAGTGTCACAAAGTTTCCACACACATGGGTCTAGGACAACAGCCCTTGGCGTGATGCAGCTTCCAGGATGCTCCTAGAAGGGCAAGTGAGAAGGGTTGGCTCCCAAAGGCGTTTTGTGTAGACGCCAACGTCACGTGATTGCACACGTCACGTAATCCAATTACTTTCACCCAATCACAGCAAATCTCATAATGTCTCAGCAGGAAAGCTGTGGGACTACTTCCTGTTTTCTGTTTTCTAGACACACCACTGCCCCCTATTACATGGCGTTTGCAAGATCTCTTTTTTGCTTTCACTGGTTCTGTTTTGGTAAACCTAAAATGAGACAACTGGACAAAATTACTTTCAAGTATATTTGGTTTCTTAAAGGGTTTGAACAATTTACTACTATTTTTTTGTGAAGTCCCTGTAGAGCCCAGGTGCACCTGCCCCTCTCCTCCACCTGCGACAAAATCCTTGAAGATGGGATCCTAGCCTTGCACTATCAGGCATAATAGTGTAATGTTTCCCTAATACTCAAACAGGCATTTTGGGGTCATTTTCCTTCCAGAGTTGCAATGTCTAAACAACAGTCTGTACAACACATTGGAAACAGAATCAGACTTAAAATTCAGTTGTCTTCCTTTTGTGTGTGAGAATGTTTCTACAAGGATTAGTCGAGAGCAACAGCCCAGGAACTGAGGCAGTATCCAGGACACTGGAGAAAGGGCAGGGAGGAAATGTCTCTCCCAAAACCTGGTATATAGACGCCAAGGTCAGGTGATTGCACACGTCACTTAATCCAATTATTTTAGCCCAATCACACTGAATCACATAATCTCTCAAAAGGAAAGTTCAGTGACTGATTCCTAGCCACTTGCAACCATTTGATGAAATTTATCTACTTCCAATCTTTCGCAATACTCTTTTTTGGAGAATGAATACCACAGACCGCATTTTTAGAAACACACTTAAATAGTAACACATGAATCATACATTACACATATCTCCCAAGGAGAGCAAATGCTAATGGGCAGATGATCCATAAATTGTTTAGACCAATAAAAGCACCTATGAAGGGTATGAAATTTCTCAAGATAAAACTTACTTACCGATATCCCTGAGGATAAAGAACCGGAGTGGGGGTTTGGAGGTTTAGCTCAAGAAAAGGGGTATAATGAAGCCATGAGATGAATCTCCAGTTGTGCAAAAGAAATCCCAAGACCAATCATCTATTACTACCTATTTTGAAATCGTTCATGCACAGGAGAATTATACATACCCTTGCACTATTTTTGCTTTTGATTTAATTTAAATTTACAAATAATAATTATACATATTCCTGGGCTCCGTGATTCCATACCTGTGTCTACCATCCACTGGGCAAAAGATATCTGGATAATCAACCTTTCTACCTCAAAGATTTACACTTTCCTTGTGGTAATGGTATTGAAGATCCTTTCTTCTTTTTGCTCTGAAATATAAAATACATGACGATTTAGTGCCAGGGATCTGATGGAATTGGAGACCACTATGCTCAATGAAATAAATCAAGCACTGAAACTGTTCTCATTCTTGTGAAAGAGTGCCTCAGCACGTGGATTCAGTGCACAGGTCATTCCCAGAGAAGTCCAGGAGCAGAATCAATGATGTCTGCGGCTTGTAGTGAAGGCGAAAAGAAATGAAACCTCTTTGACTTGTTGTTGGCCGTGTGTACTTGTATGTAGCATCTTGCTTGTGTCATGTTTCAGATTATTGGCTCAATGCTGAAAATGAATCAAAAAGTAGGATACATTTTCATGGTCTGATCCACAGAGAGATTGATGAGAGTCCATAACCTTCCCACTCAGTTCCTTCATAAGGGAGACCAGTGTCAATGAGAGATGTGCCACAGAGAGGAGACCCTCTGAGGGTGTCCAGCTCAGTTTCTGGTAAGAAGCACTGGAGGTCACCACTGCCAGGTCTTTCTGCTATTGGTAGTATGCACACATTCCCTTCTGATCCCCATGCAGTGGTCCCTTTGGGAGGTGGGTTCTGCTCCCTTTAGGCCACTGGCTGGGTCTCCCCTGTCCTTGAATCCTCCATGCCTTAGTCCACTGTTGGGAGCTTCCTTCTATCCTGAATCTCCCAGGACCTGATCCTGCTGCACCTCTGCTTCTCCTTCAGTGTCATTCTCAGGAAGGCCTCTGACAGCACACACCTGGGAGATCACCAGCAATTGCCCTGTTCTCATTCCCGTACCAGCTGTGCTTGCCTGGTCTGTTCACCTTCATGGTGCTGAACAGAAGGAGTAGCAGGCCCAGCAGGAGGCAGGAGTAAGAGAGTGGTTGTGTGGGGAGCCAGGGACTCGGATTTCTTCCCTTGCCCCATTGAGTATCCTCATGCCTTTGGAGGGATCCCTCAGCTTATCTGTATGTCCAAGACCCTGCCTTGCACCTCTGTAACTTCCCAAGCCTTACCTCTTGTTCTTTGAACTCCTATCAGAGTATCTTCATTTTGTATGGAGCACAGCAAACATGCAACAGGAATCCATAGAGACACAATAAATAAAGGGAGTCTGGTGGTTTCTCTTTCCATTTTATTCAGCATCTCACCCGATTCATATGGAAAAGCCTTGAGCAAACATGTGTGACACTTGTTAGACAGCATTGCATTCTTTGACCCATTCTGTGTTGCACATAAAATATTCAGGAATTTTTTGGAGGAGAAAATTAAGTAGGGCGACTCAGGAAAAGGTTAAATATATTCTTAATGTTTCTATAATTTTGTGTAACATCTTACCACCAACCCAATACTGAAAACAGAAAAAGGCCTTAACTCAAACATCTTGTGGATCAGGAATTGAAGGAAAGGCTGCCAGTGTCCACTGCACAACCTCCACAGGTGGCAATGCAGGTACTCACCTGGGCTTTGAATCTCAGAAGAGGCTTTTGGGGGATTGAGTTACTTCAAGATGATATGTCTCTGACCCTCTGTTTAAACACCATGATGACTATTTCCTCTCGCAAGTCATTTCAAATCTCTGAAACTTTACTACATCAACACTTATAGGAATCCATCTTGGACTTCTGATTTGTGCCTTGAGTCTTCTTATCACTATGAGCAATTTATGAGGAGGAGATGATTTGATCTATATATTCCTCAGAAGTGGATTGTTCAAAGAAGTGAAAGGCTCAGTGTGTGGATTAGAATGTAAGACAAGGAACTGAAAGTAGCACAGCATATTGCTGGGGAACTGGTCCACCCAGGAGGACCCACCATCCTTTGAGAGCTGCTAATTCAGGTGCTGGGTGGTGGTGACTCATGCCTATAAGGAGGCTGCTCCAGGAGGATTGTGGTTCAAAGCCAGCCCAGGCAAAGAGTCAAAAGGACCCCATGTCAAAAAGAAAAAAAATATCAAATTAAAGGCTAGTTGGAATGGCTCAAGGTGTAGGCTCTGATTTCAACTCAAAGTGCCACCAAAAACAAAAAAACAAAAACAAAACCACAAAACAAAAAGATGCAGAGGTTTGAGAAGCACCAATCCAGGCAACAAAAGTTGTGTGGGCCTTAAGAGTGGTGGGGGATCTTCTTTTTTTCTTTTATTATTCATATGTGCATACAAGGATTGGGTCATTTCTCACGTCTGCACCCAGCCCCTACCTTACCACATAATCTGTCCCCACCCTCTGCCCCCCACCCCCTCCATACCCAGCAGAAACTATTTTGCCCCTATCTCTAATTTGGTTTAGAGCAAATATAAGCTGTAATAGGAAGGAACAAGGGTTTTTGCTGGTTGAGATAAGGATATCTATACAGGGCATTGACTCACATTGATTTCCTGTGCATGTGTGTTACCTTCTAAGTTAATTCTTCTTCATCTAACCTTTTCTCTAGTTCCTGGTCCCCTTTTCCTATTGGCCTCAGTTGCTTTTATGGTATCTGCTTTATTTTGTCTACATTAAGGGCAACAAATGCTAGCTAGTTTTTTACGTGTCTTACCTTTCCTCACCCCTCCCTTGTGTGCTCTCAGTTTTATCATGTCCTCAGTATAAAAGCATCAAGAGTTAGTGTCTTATTGTCAAATTCCAAGATGAGCAAAATGTCCTAGAATATCCCTACTGAGTGACCACTTCATCCTCCAAATGCTGAGGATTCAAGAAGTACAAACTGAAAGGCAAACTAAAGGCAAGGAATCCCTGCCCTTTGGGGTTATGAAAACATAGGCTAATGGACATGTTTGAGATAGCTGATTTGCATTGCTATTTAGAAATTAAAATGTGCATCCACCTTGTTATGTTTAAAAGTATCTTATTGGTATTGAAA